AGTAAATTAAAATAATTTTTTAAAAAATGTTAAAGCCAGCCCTTATAATTCATATACTTATCATGCTTTTTCTTAAACTCGCATAAATTTACTGCCTCTACAACATCCAAAGGCAACCCATTCCAAAGGCCAACCACCCTGCTAGAAAAATGAAACTCTCTTAGCTGAAGATGACTCCTACCTTTCCAAAATTTATATTTATGTACTTTAGTCCTACTATTCTTGCTGGTAAGTATAAAAAAAAAAAATGATGCATCAACACTATCTATTCCCTTTACAATCTTAAACACCTCAATCATATCCCCCCCTAACCTTTCTTTTTTTTTTGAAAGAAAAGAGATTTTAGCCTGCCCTCATATTACAACCCCTCCATCCCTGGCACCATTCTAGTAACCCTTTCCAACAGTTCAGTGTCTTTCGTAAGTTAAGGAGCCCAAGACTGAACACAATATTCCAAATGTGGCCTAACGCTCATCTTGTTTGGTTCCTTGAATCAAACAATCTCCTATTGCCTACCTTATGTGGTTTTCGTCAACATTGCTCCACTGTGAACCACCTGATTTGTCTTGAAACCTCAATATGGGAGGCCTTCCTCAAGAGAGAGAGCATCTGGTTTCAGAGGAGCAGATCTGGGGAGCAGATCGATGTTCTATGTTGAAGATCTTTCATGCCCTCGTATGATCTAAGCTGGACTATGGGTTTATGGATATGCCAGACCCTTTGCATTGAAGATGTTGGACCCTGTTTATCAATAATCCATAATCAAAGTATATGAGAAATCAAAGTACTATAACTTTGGATATGCAATGTTTAGCTAATTTAGAAGTTTTATATCCTAAATTACCTAGAACTCACCACCAGGAGGTAGTTGCATGTCGAGTTCCACCCAAGCCCACCCTTAACTGGGTAATAGAATTACTGGAGTATGTATTGTTTCTTAGTATTAAATTTTTTCCAAGATTGAAGTTTTGGTTTAATGAATCCCTTTCTTCTACGATAGCCACAAACAGCTGCTGAAGCTACTGTTACTATTTTAACATGCGTTTTGACTGCTAGTGTGTGACATGGCATGCTGAACTTGAAAACTGGCTTGTTGTCTTGATTAATGAAATACACCAACTATTCATTGCTTATATTTTTTGTAAGTGGTGGCTCTACTCTCAGTCCACATTATTAGATCAGTGTAATGTTGGGTTTCCATATTAATATTTGAAACCACAAACTGTCTCATTGTGCTAGAATTTGAAGTAAATCAAGCTGCTAATATTCTATGAAGAGCAAGTTGTCTGATAACCTTAGAATCATCTCCAAGCATTGCAAGGAGTGAATTTTCTGGGTGGGCAAAATATTCATTTTTCCGGATTTCTCTATCCATCAAATATTTCTATTGTTCAAGATTCATGGCTACATGAGGGATTTTTCTTGATATTAAACCAAACTGTTGCATACAATTCAATTACATATCTCACTAAAAACTAAGCTTCTTGGATGGGTTAGCAGTTGTGATGTAAAGACGCAAAATCCTGTTTGCTGTTGTTAACCAGCGAGAATGGTTCGTTGTACCAGGGTCATGTAAAGCAAGTTCTCTTGAACAATGATCTGACACTACTGCATTGCACATGTCATACACATATTTTTTATCTGTACTAAGATCCTCAGGATGATCAATTTTTGGTAATGGCTCTATAATTTCGACTGAAACAAAGTTTATTCAAAGCAATGATTCACAAGTCTTCAGTTTTTTTCCAAGAGGACCAGAAAAAATAGACGGTCCTAGAGTTATTTCGTCACGATGCATAATTAGATGACCCCGGGGTAATTCATTGGCATGTAAGAAACAAATTAACCAATGAACAGGTCTTCCTAAGTGCAATTCAAGAAGTTTCATAACTTCATTTTTTTTCCAGTATTGACATATGTGCCATCACAGCCTACAGCAACTAAATGATCAGATGATATTTTGTTATCTTCAAACCATTGACTGATAGAATTTTTTATACCTTGTGATGTTCCAGAAGAAAGAGAAATGAGATCCATGAAAATTGATTCAGGTTCATTGACCATAGTTATGTGCTGTTCCATGACTACACGTTTATAATGTTTTCACCAATTTTTAATGACAATTTTAGTTATATCTTTTCTATCATCGAAGTCGATATATTGAATACAATTTGATTCATCAGAAGTCAGTAATGTTTCTAGGTATTTTTCTTGTTTGCATTGTATCTTGTTTTTTTCGAGAATTTTAACATTGTCATTTTCTTGAATAATGACCATATCTTCCAAAACAGTCGAGGTAAGGGCTGCAGCAGCTCTATCCGAAATACAGTACCTGTCAGCTTCTCTCACTACCATTGGAAGCAGTGTCCTCATTTGTTTATTGATTTTTAGGATTTTGGGATTTCGATGTAGAAAGTGCAGAATTATCAAAATAATCCAAGCAAGTCATTGATTAACTATTTCATTTGGTGGAGAGATGATACACTTTTTTTTTTCAAGCTTTGGTTCGCTTACGACAGTTGAAGATATAATTGGAGGAGTTTCATGCTGCATAATATTAATTCTTATAATAAAAGGCAACTATTGCACACCCTGCCGACTAGCAATTACAAAATATAATTTTCAAAAAAGTAAATTTGATGCACTCTAATGTATAAGCTGTGAGTAGTAAAAATTGTAGAACTTATTTGGAATATTTGTATTTTGAAATGGAAAGTTTATAATTTCAAAATTAAGTGTTTTATTGAGAATTTTGAACTTGGACACTTCTTTAATCCCTTCACTGCTCAGGTGGGGTAGAAAAACCCACCCCATATAGACAAAAGTAAAAAAATTTTTTTTAACCTAACAAAATTTTAGTAAAGTATGACTAAAGTAAAGTATAAACATACAAAAGGTCATATAATAGAA